TCAATATTCTTTCATTTGTAATTTCAGAATTTTTTTTTTGTTAGTAGTTTATACTTTTTCAGTTTTTGTATGGAAATCAAAAATTAGTTGCAGACAGATTTTACCAATGTTCCTCAACTCTTGTCTCTTTTTCCAAACCTTAAAAAAAGTGGGGCCCTCACTTTTCCCTTAGAGACAGCCTTCTGAGGTGTTGCTGGCTCCCCCAGTTCTCATTTGTAGCTCCATGGCTGATTGAACCAGGCATTGAGAGATTGAGGAGTGCGATTCAGTGCTCAGCAGGCTTCTGAATACTGATTCTGAGTCAGGCACATTGAATGAAATTAGATACTAAAAGAGGAGCTGTCAGACCTACGTGGTCCGGAGGTCAATCACATGATTAACAGTGATGACATCATCCCCTGGGGCTGCCCACTCTTTTGTTGCAGGATTGGACACTGTGAAACGTGCAGACCTGACTCCATTATGTAATTGCAGGGGCCAAGAATAGGGCCTCTAAAATCAGCTCAAGCCAATGGGGCCCTTAAAGCTATACTATCAAACTTTTTTTGTTCAAAATGAGAAAACTTTAAATAATGAGTGTAACAAAGTTAAATGAAGAAATCAGAGACAGGTGTTAGTTATCATTCACTTGACCGCCTTATCACTGCTTGTCTCCGCACCCGTTCTCCCGCTGCAGACTTCGTGTTCCTATGCCCCCCTTGCCACAATGAGCGAATACATCATAAATTTGTCTTTAAAAGGGGTCATCGGATGCAAAACTCACTTTACATGTTGTTTGAACATAAATGTGTGTTGGAAGTGCGTGTACACATCCACCCTATAATGATAAAAAACCACCTAGTGGTTTTTTTAAAAATCCCCTTTCTCAAATCAGGCTGTCCTGAGTTTTCTGTCAGAATGACGTAGTTCTGCACAGGCCACTCCCATGATAGTTGATTGACAAGGCCGGCTTACCTTAGACCCGCACTGAGTGAGCTGTGAGCTGTCCGCCATTGTGTTGACTCATTGTGTCATTTATTCCTGACATCTGAGCCGTGAAGACGCAGAAGATTAAAGTTACTTTCGTTTTTGAAGGGAATGCACTGATCCCCGATCCGCCTAAATGTGTTTATGTTTGCACAAATCATCCGTGATCTGGCTTCATCTACATAAGAAGTGAGTATATGGGTTTTTTATGAATCTTTGCAAATCACCTTTCCTAATATGTGCTAGTTAGCAAGTTTTGTGGTTGAAGTTTACAGTCTGCTCGTCATCCCATGGAAGAGAGGGGTGGGGTGAGCAGAGCTCATTAGCATTTAAAGCAAAACAGCTTGCTGAAAACAGTGCTGATTTTGACAGGGTAAAAAGGGTGTGTAACAAACGTTTGTAGATTGGGAAGAAGAAGGTCGGAACCGGCAAACATTTAAACACAACTTTAATAATAAAATAAACACAAAAATAGCGAAAATAGTGCGACAGCCCCTCACGGATGACTGCTGCTCACAAACACAACAACATAAAATCCAGACCTGGTCCTCTCTCATCTTGCCACTCCTCCTTTTATCATTCCGGAGCTCCTCCGTGGGACTCGAGACTGGTGAGTGGCGCAGGTGTAGCTCATTATCATTTACTCCACCGGCCACGCTCCGCTCCCATGGCTCTCGGCTCTGCCCCACTCATCACATACCCCCCTCGCAGGCCAGGGAGTAGCCACAAGACTGCGCTCTACTCCCCCCCGGGGGCCCCATCACTGTAGCTGCAGCACCTGGGGGTAAGGACAGACAAGGCGAGAGAAAAGGAGACGGAAAGATGAGGAGAGACAGAGACGAGAAAAAAATTATTCTTGCCCCAGTTCCCAGACACACTGCTGCTTGGTCCTCAACCAGCTGAGAGGCTCTCACTCGCGGTGCCATGCGATGGTACTGGACATCTTTGGTGGACGGCCCGATGCTCCTCCGCCTCCTGGCAGATGGCGATGGCTCCTCCGGTCGAGGATGGCTCCGGCGATGGCTCCGGCCTCCAGGCGAACGGCACCGACTCCTCTTCTCCTTCTTGGATGACCCCTTTAAAACATATTTTTGCCTTGCCTTGGGATGGCGATGGCTCCTCCGGTCGAGGGCAGCCGGCAGCGAGTCCCCTGTTCCCTGCTCCTCCCCAGTCATGGCGGACGGCAGCAGGCTCCGGCCTCCAGGCGAACGGCACCGACTCCTCTTCTCCTTCTTGGATGACCCCTTTAAAACATATTTTTGCCTTGCCTTGAATGACTATGATAAGCCTTTAATAATTATCTATATTTTAGAGTGTTTTGGATAGATTCAGTGGGAAACTGCATATTTCCATAATTTTTCTGTGCGTGTTTATGTCATATCTGTAAATAAAGGAAAGAAATTCTGGCTACTTCTATATGCAGTTGATGGTGTGATAGTAGCTTGAAGCCACAAATGAACCTTAAACCAAAATGGCTTTGCAAGCAAAAAAGTGACAGTGCCCATAAAAAATTCTAATCAACACCTCTTGGCATTTCAAAAATATGTTTAGTTTGCAAAGCATCACATTTGCTGTGCGTTGACTAGGTTTACAATACAATGTTTATGTTGGTAACAAAGCCTATCCTTAAACCAGTTATTATTTAAATCTGTTTGCCTATGAATAGCCTACTAGCCATACTTACCAAGACACATGTTCAGATATCCATCTTTCTTTCATTATATATTTATTGATTTATTTCATAATTTTGGAGTGCCTCGGGAGTAGCTAAAGAAGAACTCACATGATTACTAAAACAATGTTCCGCATCAAGTAACTTGTAGTTATAAGTTTCAACTACTAAAGAAAGAGTCCAAACTTTTTCCTAAAGGACCACTGTGCATAGAGTTTAGCTCCAACCCTAATTAAACACACCTTAACCAGCTACTAATGTCACTAGAAACTTCCAGTCAGGCGAGGAGGAGCTGGTTGGAAATAAAATCTGCAGGACGATGGCCCTCCGGGAGCAGGATTGAACTCTGCACCAAAGGTCCAAACGTTTAAAGGGGTGGCTCATTGCGATTTCACTTTTTTAATGTTGGTTAGTGTGTAATGTTGCTGTTTGAGCATAAACAATATCTGCAAAGTTATGAAGCTGAAAGTTCAATGCAAACGGATATATCGTCTTTTAAAATTCTGGCAGTTTAATGCCTACAAAAATGGCTGGTAGGGACTACAACAAGTTACTTCCCGGGTTTGTGACATCAGAAACCCAGATAAACCCCGCACTCGGGAAAAGGCAGCAAAGGGGGTGAGGCCATGCTGCACTGCTTTAGAAAAGAGGATGAGAAAACTAGAGGTGCTCGTAAAAATCTGTTCATGTATGAATCGCGATTCTGTCTTCTAACGATTCTAATGGACTCACAAGTTTCAAAATCAATGTTCAAAAGCAGCGGTTCTCAATACTGTTGCTCGCATTCCCCTGCTCTGCACACGCTCTGCATCTCTCTCTCTCTCAGTCAGCTCTACAATGAACTGTTCCAATTATACACTTATTTTCACATAGCTATGAGAAGCATTAAACATGGACGCGCATGCGGTTGCTGTACTGTATTAAAGCTTTAATCAGGATAAAACTGTATATTAAAAGCTAACATAATAAGTAGCATTTACAAATAACAGCGTATCTAAAAGTATGAGACAACAACAAACAAAAAACATAGGCCTACCATTAAAAGCTGTGCTTGCACAGGTTCTGCACGATCCTCTTCAATAATATCATCTGCTTCCCAATCGGGCTCAAACTGATAAGCGATATTAACAATGCCATTGTTTACAATACAACCGGAGCACATGCTGCTGAGGTGAGGGGCGGGACGCTTAGATGCACACTAGGCGGTTTAGCCAATCACAACACACTGGGCTAGCTAACCAATCAGAGCCCATCGCCTATTTCTGATGGCGGGGCTTCATAAAAACAGGAAAAGATCAGCTCGTTTCTCAAACAAGGGATAGAGCTGTGTGGAATAAAGGTAAATTATGTGAAAAATAATGTTTGTTTTTTTTAAACAAAGCATTAACACGTTAGACTGCACCCCATAAACCCAATCAAGCCTAGAAAAAACCCAGTGAACCACCCCTTTAATAGTGTAGATTTAAGAGGATTAGAAATAGTCCACACCCCCCCTGAGCTTTCAATTACTAATTAATGACTGCTTAAAAAAGGTAATAAAACATCAATGAGGGTTCTGAAACTAAAGAAGGAACCGCTGTCAAACTAGAAAAAAAACACAACCACAGTCAAGCTTGTCAATTATTTTGTACATGGTAGTTAAAGCACATAATATTTAACTGCTGTATTCAGCTTCATACTGTAAACAGTTGTCATTTGCTAGTTTGTTGTGTGAATACACTGTGCTGCTGTTTTACTGTAAGCAACCTCCCAGAACACTACCAGCCGCAGTGATTCCCTGGTAAGCATTACTCGATTCTTTTCATTTTAATTTTATCTTCTGAATAATAAATTAGAGTCCACACCAATGGGTGATGATGTTCTGTTTATTAAAAGAGTTGTCACCTGCTGCTTGAAATATTTGAGCTCTTTAAATCCAGATGGATTCTGATAGTTTTCTGCGAACTCTAGTTTTGCCTTCCTATTAGTTTCAAAATGGTGAAGCAGGAAAATAAATGCGTATGTTTAAGCTTGCTAGACTACATAATCTTACCCTCTGAAAATAAGGTACCATTATATGAGTGAAAATATATAATTTTGGTCTCAGTGGAAATGTTCACTATTTGGAGCTCCGTATGATCTGTTTGTTTAACATCTTCCTTCTCTCCTCACATTGCAAGTAAAGCTGCTTTCCCAGTGTCTTGAGTTTTAAGAAGACAATCTAGAGAAAGTTTCATACACCATCTCTGCGTTGCTGTTGGTCAGCTCGGATTCTGTATTTCCCTCCTCTTATTCTTATGTTGTTTACTGACCCTGTGGAACTATTTGGGTTAAGAAGTGCTCTGTGCTATATTGGTAGTAGCCACTTAGACTCAACTAAGAAAGAGATTGCCTTTTTTTACCTTGAAGAAACATTTGATGTAACATTTTTGTTTTGGTTTAATTTCAGACTCTTTCCTCATCTATCTGAGGTGGATGTGATATCCGAGAGAGACATTACAAAGCGTGTATGATGGCTGTGGCTGGATGTCCAGATTATTTTCTGCACCATCCAAATTACCAGGTATTTGTTTTGTTCTTTTTCCATTACACCGTTTACCCAGCCTCTACATTGTTATTGTCTTTGTAAGATATGTTTGTTCCAAAACCACTATACATTATGTTCTTGCCTTAAAACACAAACTGGAAAAGCCAGCCAGATTACACAGAGCCATACTAAAAAACTTAGTGTTTTTTTGCAGTACCAGTCAGTTTTCCTTTAGTATATTTATTTAATTTTTAAAGGAATTAGTAATTGCATTATTTCAAAACTACTTCAGAGTCAACCCTATATGCCAAGCAAATTAGTTTGGAGTATAATAATATTAGTAGTAGTATTATTTACTAAAGTAGAGCATTGTGAAGAAATGCCAAACGTTAATGACAGTGGAATGTTTTGGGCATTTTGTTTAAAACTGCCCTTTTTTGATCTGGAATATTTCCAAGCATGCATTTAAATGTATCCCTAACCAAGTTATGAGAGGCTGTGCTATTATGAATATTGTTGCAACATTTTATGAATCCATTTCGATCTATTTCATAATATTTAAGACACAATTAATAATTAAATGTTTATTTATTCATTAAATTTATATACATTTAGTGCCTTCTGTCTTCTTCCTTTCTGATGGTTTATTATTATTATTATTATTATTTTATTGTGTACTGTAAAAACTGATAGTTCACCTACTTTAGTTTTGAAGTTTTTGTATG